TTTTTTTTTTTTTAAACTTTACCATGTAACTAATGGAAGAACTAAAGCTAACCAATGCTGGGCTATGATTCATAAGTTCTACCTTATTTTTTCCTGTTGGTATGCTCCTTATTCTTAACTATAACACAATTTTTAAAGGGACTTGGGGCCTTCTCAGATAATAGCAGTCAGACCAACTGCAAAAGACATACTTACTGTATAAAAGATTCTCCTGGTCTGCATCCTCTTTAGTGAGACAGCTTCTTTTTAGGGGTGGTCAGCTGAGTGGATTTTACCATCACTGAAGCCCCTAGTAGACTATACCCATTATGCAAATTTCTGGCTGTTCATTTGTGGGTAGGGAAATCAGAGTGACTTAGCATATTATAGAATATAGAACAAGCATTATGTCTCTAAGTGATGACAAATTCTACTATAAATGTGAAAAAAATTATAAATGGCAAAGGAAAAGTTGAAATTACTTGATGTTTTGTGGTTTAAGAACAATACTTGAATACAGTCTTATGCATGAAAATGCATAGGATGATATTTCTCTAGTTTTGATATAATTGTTTTCAAGGTGAAGATGTTCTAGAGTTGAATCCTCATCCTCTTCAACATTGCAAATTTGTTCTGGTAGAATATTCCTAAAAGAAAAATAGATGTGTAAGTTATGAATACTTCAAGTGGTCTAACTTAGAATTTAGAAGTTAAGTTTTTTTTTTACAATTTAAAAAATATTTTATTATTTTTATTTTATATGTATGCCATGTATTGCCTACATGTAGGTAAGTGCACCCCTGTCGTGCATTGCCTGTGGAGGACAGAAGAGGCTGTCAGATCCCCTGGAACTGGAATTACGGACAGTTGTTAGCTGCCATGTGGGTGCTGGGATTCAAACCCAGGTCTTCTGCAAGAACAACCAGTGTTCTCAACCACTGAGCCATCTCTCCAGCCCTAGAAGTTAAGTTTTTTAAAATGTCTTGGTTCTTAAAAGGAAGTTGAGCAGGACGTGGTGGTTCACACTTGTAATTCCAGCACACAAGGGCTGGAGTGATGGCTCAGCAGTTAAGAGCAGTGGCTGCTCTTGCAAAAGACCCAGGTTCAATTCCCAGCACCCACATGGGGGCTAACAACGTCTACAACTCTAGTTCCATGGGGTTCAACACCCTCCACGAGCACTGCATGACATAGATACATTTACATACATGCAAGCATAACATTCGTACACATAAAAGCTGGGCATGGTGGCGCACGCCTGTAGTCCCAGCACTTGGGAGGCATAGGCAGGCGGATCTCTGTGAGTTCAAGGCCAGCCTGGTCTACATAGTGAGTTTCAGGACAGCTGGGGCCACAGGGAGACCCTGCTTCAAATAGACCCCCCCAAGAAAATCAAAATAAATAATTAAAATAATAATAGAGGACATGAAGTCAGGAATGTAGTAAGGTGGGAGTGGACCTGAGGGAGGGGGTCTGAATAGGATCAAAATACATTGTATGAAATTCTATAAAAGTCAAAAGAAATTTTTAAAGATTGTAAATATCTAATTGTAAGAATTTTAAGAATTGTAAGAAATGAAACAATGCCATAACCTGCAAAGTGGGGAAGTTCTTTCCAATTATGAACTTAAAATGGCAAGCTCAGTTACTATGCAGCTATGTAGCTGAGACTGGCCTTGAACTCCTGATCTTCCTGCCTTCACTTTTCAAGTGCTGTAATTATAAGCATAAGCCACCCCACTGGCACCTAAGTGTGCTGGATCAATTTTATAGTCACTCATGCTGTCTAGGCAGGGATGATGAGTAAACACATAGAAAAAGTGTCCCCCAAAGTGAAGGAAGTTGAGTCCCAATAAATTAATTCAGAATTTTGCCTTCATAAAAAAAAATCTAGATTCAAGCAATTTTAATTTTAGCATGTATTTAGGTTTGTGCTCTATAGATCACTTTTTTATGTATGTGAGGATAGTAGTATAATAGCATATTGCTTAGCAACATTATCTGAAGCTATCTCTAAGGTTCTACACATTGCATAATAATATTCTACTTAATACTGTGGAAGTTTGCAGATATATACAGAAGCGGAAGCCATAATCCTCACATACCTATTATTCAACAGTTACTAACATGGTCATTCTTGTTTAGTCCTACTGTTTAGTATCATTTTTTTCTTCAATGTAAATCTAAGAATTTATGCTATGATTATTTAATTTGTCAACCAAAGTTTAAATTGATACTTGAAAAGACCAAAATTTACCTGATCTTATTGTTGTTCAGCCTCAGAAAATATAGTGCTTTCATTTCTGGTATTCCAGGTGGTATAGATTTTAAGTCATTGTGATCCAGAAATAACTCTCTCAGAGAATGATATGCCCCATAGAATGAGACACGGTCCACACCGTCATCAGCAAGTCTGTTAAATGACAGGTACAGGTATTCCAGGCCTGGCTCCATATGGCCAAACACATATCCAGGGATCCGTTCAATTTGGTTCCCCATTAGTACGAGGTGCAGCAAAGACTTTGGTAGGTAGGAGGGCACTTGGTAGAGCTTGTTATAGGAGAGGTCAATGGATTCAAGGTTTCTGCAGCAAAGGAAAAGTGAATGGGATGAAGAACCTCAAGAAAGTGATTGGCCATCCTAAATTTTGACAAGGCCTGTTTTCCTACAAGCACCAGTCATGATGATCCTGAACAGAACTGTATTATGTGTCAGCTTGGGTCTGTCTGTTGTCCAGGTTTCATGTTCTCACTAGCATCCATACTGCCTTTCAACTGTAAGTGTGCATCAGAGTCTAGGTGGGGAAACTCATATCCTTGGGGAAATGGGAATACCAAAGATGTCCCTGAAATATATCTAAATTCAGATTTTTAACCAAATGAAACCCAAGAGTCCTTGGTTCTAACAAGGACCTTTCCTGATTTGGGGATTTTTGTGCATCTGGAGTTTTTCTCTTGAATTTTCCTTCCTCATTTGCTTTGTGATCTGACACACCTGGGGCTTAGGGTGAGCCAGATTAGAGTAAGATGGAGGAATCTAGAAGTGTTAATGTACTAGAAGGTCCATGGAATGTGGTAGTAAGCTCCCTGCCTTGTTTCAGAAGCTTCTCCTGAGTCTACTGGGGCTTTTGCCTAGCCCCTTTCACCTGATAAAGACTCCATCACCCTCTAGTTGGGCCCAGAGGCCTCTTTTCGTCTCTCCCTTTCATTCTTCTGAACAACCCATATTCCAGGCTGTTCAACTCAATCCAACTCCTTCCCCCTTTGCCGAGGACTACAGCTAAGCTTCTTTATCCTGTCTAGTATCGTGGATTCTGCTTTCTGCCTTCAGTATCAGACAAGCCTTCTTGAGATAAAGAAGTGGTTTGGACTGAAGAAGGCAGTATGGTATAAGATAGACCTCACTGCTGTGGCAAGATATTTTCATCTAATGATGCAGAAAAAGGATGGCCACTTAATTTGTCTTTGTGTACAAAGGATTATGCCATTTAAACCTGACAACCTGTGAGCTAGGCAAAGCTAGGATAGTATTTGTTATGGCCAACCCTAAGTTTTTGCTAGCTTAGCACTTAGCATGTAGCAGGATACTCACAGATAGTCGTGATCATATTAGCAGTCATGTAATGAATAGTTTGGAAACTCAGTGAAGTAGCTAAATTTGGAGTAAGAGTGAGGAAAGGATGCCAAGAAATGATGGTAGATACTTACTCTTGATTTATCCATGCTAAAGGAGCAATCCGGCTTTCTTCTATTTTATTATAGCGTAGGACAATCATATTGATCTTTCTGGTATGATTAAAACAATTTTCAGTTATTTCTTCAATTTGGTTATTTTCTAGGTATAATTCCTATAATTAAGAGAAATACTGTTATTTTTCTTCCATTTTTGATCAGTGATATCCAATTTCACAGAAACTAAAGCAGACTATTCTCATTAGTATTTAAAATCTTTTACTGCTTTTTCAAGTGAATTCATACTTTTTTTTTTTTTTGGTCTTTTGAAACAGGGTCTCCCTGTAGCCCCACCTGGCCTGAAACTCTTATAGCTAATAAAGTAAAAAGTACTGCCTATCATGCTTATGAAATTAAATAAATTGTATGTGTTTGTGCTGATTCATGAGAGTCCAGTCTGGCTAAGTTTTAGCTCCAGGCCAGCTTCCCACTATTTCATGAACTCTATAGCTTTTTAAGACTCATGTTTTTAGACTTAAATTATAATCAATTTAGTTAGCTATAAAGTTAAAATTCTTTAAGAACTTTAAAAGTACTATCTGCTAGGACTAGTATTAAGTTTTAGCTAGTTGCCTTCAAGTTGTTTAGTTGGCATTAGAAGGAATTTTTTACTAAAGGGTCTGAATTGTTAAATTTTTCCTTATTTTAGTTGGAGTGCCTAAGTAGAATTGGCTTATATGTTTAATGCAACTTTCTATTATGGTAATTTTCCCTTTGTATCTTAATTTTGGTATTTGTAAAAATAACTAAAGGAGCTTGCAGCTTTTTGGTTTTATCATCCTTTATAATTAAGGGGTGAGTTACATGAGTGCTTTCCAAACTCAGTTATACATTAGAATCATCTCATGAGCCTTTTAAATATAAATTTCAACCTAAATGAGCACTAGTAAGAGGCTAGTTACGTAAGTTCTCACATGCCCATCTCTATGTTAAAAGCTCTGCAGCTATAGGAAAGAATGATATGTGGCAGACTTCAGAAGTGTAGTAAGGTGAGACTGGACTGCAGCAGTGACTTTAGAAGAATTTATAGCACATACCATGTGCTGTACACTGTGTACCCAACATTTCTCAGGTTGGTGGGGATAAATCCCTTTGGAGAGACAAACCAGGATGAGAAGGTCAGGCATGGGCAGGGATCATTATGGGTCTGTGTGTGTGTGTGTGTGTGTGTGTGTGTGTATGTGTGTGTGTGTCTGTATATCTGCGTGTGTCTGTATATCTGTCCAAGTTGCATGTGTATGTGTTTTACCAGTTGCATGTATCAAAATAAAAATTTAAAAATTATTATTGTTTATTATGTGCACACATATGTATTCGTGTATGAAGGTCAGAGGACAACTTGTGGGAGTTGGTTGTATCCTTACACAATGTGGGTCTCGGGGATTGACCTCAGATTGTCAGACTCGGTGCCAGGTACCTACCAGCTGAGTCACCTTGCCAGCCCTTACATAGTTAATTCCTGCCCCAGAAAACAAAACAAAACAAAAATTAAAAGAAGGTATTGGTACCTCAATAGAAGCAGGAAGACCCTGTGGTATGATTCTGAATTTATTTTTTCCCAGCCGTAGGTATAATAGGTTCTTCAAATGTTTGAAAGCTAAAGGACTGACATTGATTTCACTGAGATTGTTTCCTTCCAATTCTAAGGTGACCAGTTGGTTTAAATCTAAAAACAAAGTTACCAGAATATTAGAATAATTTTTAAACCATTACTTTGGGCTGATGATATTACTCAGTGGCAGAGCATTTGCCTAACATGTACAAGGACCTGGGTTGGAGCCCCAACACAGCAGAAAGTCTAAAGAGTAGAAAGAGAGGGCAAAATCTGTGGTTGGGAGAAATTCAGGTGTTGAATGGCACAAATATGCATAAGGAACAGAGGCAAGAAAAGGGAGAAGCACAGAAGGAAGATAGGGAGAAGAGTAATGGTCACCTCTAGAGGCCATGCCGGCCAAGAAGGGACTTGGAATTCAAGTGGACAAGGAGGAAGAGGATCATGAAAGTCATTGGAAGCATTTTCAGAGACCTGTAAGTATAACTCAGTAATGTGGTAGGCTGCTGAGTGATTCCTTTCTCCAGAATGCAGAAAAGAGCACTCACCTTGGCGTTCTCTGAACGGAGGAGTTAGAAATGCAACAGAGCAATGAATTTCCATATTTATTCACTTACTGGCACAGAGTGCAGCCAAATATAAGCTTTTTTGTTAAAGACAGATGATCAGAATTCTCTACACAATCTACACATTCTGAGCTACCAAGGAAGGCCTTTATACAAGTTTTTTTTTTCTTCACTGTTTCTACTGCCTCAGGAGTAGTATCATCAGGGTCAATTGGAAGCCATACTGAGCACACACCACTCAAAAATGACATACCAAGGGGCCTATGAGTCAGAGGTTCAAGGCATGGTCAAGATTCCCCCAATAGGGATGTTTTCTTGCTCAACCTCTGTCATCAGCCTTGCAAAGAATGTGCTCTGTACAGCTCAGACCTACTCTTTGTAGCAGCAAAGACAGTCACATCAGTAGAAATAATAAATGCTCGAGAAATATAAGAGAAAGCAGTAAGGATTTGGGTGGTTTGGAAGTGGTAGGCTCTTAACACTAAAAAGATTTAGATAGACATAGGAGGAACTTTAGGCTGAAATAACCAGGTAAGCACATACAGGTAAAGTGCCCGTGTAGGCTTGGCTTACCCTGTCATGGGCCATGGCAATGGAGTGAAATTGGTGTTCAGGAAGAAATGCCCTGGGGGAGAACCACTGGGCCCTAGATGTAGGTTTGGCTTTAATTCTTTAGACACCAAGAGGCAGTGCAGAGGATGCTATGAGGAAAGCCACATCAGAAAAGATTCATCTGGTGGGGTGACAGGAATTAGGCAAGGCAAGCAGAAAAGTGGTATACATAGTTACATTTTTTTGTACTATCTTAATTCCAAAATTTAAAGTACTAAGGGTCTAGCAGTTCTCTAGTACATAGGTTGGGATCCTGAAATGTTGAAGCTGTCAGTAGAAAAGTAGAGACCAGAAGTAGACCGATGGTTATTACATGACATCCCGAGAAACAGCAAATTCACAATACTTTGTGTTCGTGTGCTGTTTTTCTCTGGTGTGTATGTCATGGAGATTGGGGTAGAAAGGTTTTGTTAGGTTAGATCTGAGGTCACTGTTGAAAGGAGGATTCATAACCAGGAAATAAGTAGAGGTAAAAGACCTTTGTTGTGGGTAAGGTTATGGACATAATGACACATTAATGTTCTTGTGGCTAAAGCAGCCACAATGATTGTAGTTTGGTTATTGTAGTCATTAGTCATGACAAGAATGTTCTGAAGCACATCCTGCTTCCCACTGTCCCTCCCTCTGCCTTTCACTCTTCTACAGTGAAAGAGCTTTCCTTTCTGTTTGGCACTTGCTCAATATTTCAAATGGTCTCCTTCATTTTACTTGATATGTGTGCCCTCAAGCACTCACTTCCCTTCACCCTCATCAATCCTGGCTCTCAGCCCAGCCTGCCTGCAATCCCTACAGCATCCAGAATTATCTATTTTTGTCTTTCACATGCCATTTTATCTCCTACTTTTCCACTTCTGTGCACCTGTGATCTGAAAGGTCAGTAAAAGAGCACTAGAGAGATGGTCAAAGTGGTTTTTAGGGGTGCCACACAGAAAGGCTGTTTCAGAGCACTGGGAAGGGTCGGTTTCAAGCTTACCTGTTAACTGTCATCTATAAATAGTAGACTCACAGAAGCCAAGGAAACACAGCAGCTTCCTCAGCCAGAGTACCCAGCACCCAAGTGGCCAACACAGTAGGACTAAGAAGCTAGGAAGCTAGCCCACCTAACAAGTACAGGGGGGGTTCTGTGTGAGAGAACAGCAGAGAACCTTCTTTCTTGTCACTTGTGTGAGGATGAGGCTGCTGCTTCTGTGCTAGTGGTACAGAGACAGGAAGAGATAGGTACAGAGATGGCCCTTTGTGCTGAGAAGTTGGTCCAGGGATTTATGAGAGAACCTTCAAAATAGTAAGACCTGGTGGCTCACACCTATAATCCTAGCACCTGGAACTCTAAGGCAGGAAGGCTATAAATTCAAGGGCAGCCTAGGCTACATTGTGAGAACACTGACTCAGGAAAAAACAGTAATGTATGTTTTATAAGGTATTTTAATAGCAGAGCTAGAAATGTGAACTCATATACTTCACACAGTCTATTTGTACATTTGCTCTACATTTTGTGTTTCTTTTAGTTTAACAAAACAGTTAGAAACTGCCGGGCATGGTGGCACACACCTTTAATCCCAGCACTCAGGAGGCAGAGGCAGGCGGATCTCTGTGAGTTCAAGGTCACCCTGGTCTACATACTGAGTTCCAGGACAGCTGGGGCTACAGGGAGACCCGGTCTCAAAAAGACCAAAAACAAAAAAAAAACAAAAAAAAAACCACAGAAATTAAATTTTCCAATGTCTTTTCCATATTACAAAGACCATCAAAATTTGTTTATTAAAAGTTTCATGTGTACCCTAAAAACCATCTGGAAATTGAGTATTTATAATGAGTAATCCTCACATTTGGCAATTTTTATAATTACTGTCCTTTTTTCATCAACAGAAGTGTTTTGTTCCTATGAAAATTTGGGAGAACTAACAAAAGTAATATTTGGATTGCGTTATTCCTTTACATTCTCTACTTTTTTAATGTTTTGTTTTTATTTTTATGTGTATGAGTGTATTGTCTGCATGTAAGTGTACCTGTGTTGTTTAATGCCCACAGAGGTCAGATGAGGGTGATTCCCCTGGTACCGGAGTTACAGATGGTTGTTAGCTACCATGTGGGTGCTGGGAGCCAAACCTGTGTCCTCTGCAAGAACAGCCAGTGCTCTTAACCACTGAGCCATCTCTCCAGCTCCCACATTCTTTATTTTTCAATAATACCTAATAACTTTGCTTCAACTCAGGTTAGCAGTGTTGAACATTGTACCTCAAGAGCAATGCTAGATGGCTAGGAAGATGAAAAAGAAAATTGGGCAGTCTTAAACTAGTACACCATACACCACTCATCAAAAAACCTTCTTTTTGTAGCATATGGAGGCTGCTGAAGAACCCCAAACTGGTTAGACACAGAGAAGATACATCTGAGGGATGCTCAGTCCTAGGTGACACATCTACAGTAGAACCTCTACACCTAAGACTCATGGAACATAGTAGAACGAGGGGTGGGGGTAAGAGACTGCAGAGTGTGTCCCTGAATAGGACTCCTATACCAAACCTCTCCCACTTAGGGCTCAGAGACCATTGTGGAAGAGGGAGCAAAAAGATTCCAAGAGCCAGGGTTATTCCCTAAATATAGGAAAGCAGAGGCTTTCAGGCCACTGGAAACTTCCACATATGAACTTGTGGCAATGGTGGCATTAAGCACAGGACCCATGCCAACTCAATCAGACAGGGGCCCAGGGTGGAGCAAGGGAAATGGGTGGTGGGTTGGCCCTAGTCTGGGAACTATTGGAGACTGATCACTACTGGGTGAGGGAGAGCAGGCCTTACCAATCATCTCTAGATAGGCTAACTAGACTCCAGTAAATAAATTTGCACCAAAGGACATGAGGTACAAATGCTTGACTGGATAGGACTTAATATGTATAGCGGAATATATGAGGTCTGGTGAGGAGTGAGGAGGGTGGGAGTGGAGGGGCAAGGATAGGAGAAGGGGTTTAAATTTGATTAAGTACTGTTGGATGAAATGTATAAAAGCTCAATAACAAAAATTGCAAAAAAGAAACTCACAATCTAAAGGAGCGAGCTAACATTTGTGAAAAGTGAAATATGATGATGCCTCTTGTGCAGTTCCAATATGACAATTTCAGCATTGCAGAAACACAGAGAGCCCACTCCAGCAGGTTTGAATGCACCTCACTGAATTGTCCTTTACAAAGCTAGGCTGTAGTGGCAACCTCATTTCACAGGCAATGAGGTGTGCAAGTAGCAGGACCTCAGCCCATACCCTGTCAGGAACAAAGCTGCCAAGGCTACTGCTGTGAGGTGCCATGCTCCTATGTACAACAGTCCCTCTGTCTTACACAAAGTGTGTGCTCATTCACTCTTTACACATTATTTCCATGTGCTTGGACTGGGACTCCAGCATATGGAAAATGAAGTAGCAATATGTATGAACACAGTGTGAGTTGCCTACATGTATGGTGCTCTGAGGGTATTAGTGTAGCTCTTCAGATGTAGTGGATTTTTAAGAGTTATTGTCTGAATGATGAACACCTGGCATTGTTGAGAAAATGTTTGATTTAAGATTAAGGTGCTTAAAAAAAAAAGACAACAGGAAGTTTAAAAGCCAATCAAAATGAGGTTATCAAGGCGGGTGTGGTGGCGCACGCCTTTAATCCCAGCACTTGGGAGGCAGAGGCAGGCAGATATTTGTGAGTTCAAGGCCAGCCTGATCTACATAGTAAGTTCAGGTCAGCTGGGACTACAGGGAGACCCTGTCTCAAAAAGACAAAAAAAAAAAAAAATGAGGTTATCAACTTAAATGATGAGGTGACCTAATATTTTTTAGTTACACATTTAGCAATACTATAACGTAATTTCTGTAGAACAATAGAAGAAAGGCTGTAAAGAAATATATCATTTAAAAAAATACTAGGCTTGGGAAATGGCTCAAAGGGTAAAGTACCTGCTGTTCAAGCATGAGGACCTGAGTTCTGATTCCCAGCACCCATGTAGAAATCAGGTATTGTGGCACATGCCTATAATCCCAGCTCTGGGAATTGGAGACAGGAAGATCCCAGGAACTCACTGCCTAGTCCACCAGTGAGATCCAGGCTCAGTGAGAGACATTGTCTCAAAAATAGGGTGGAAAGTGGTAGAGGAAGACACCTGACCACTACTTCTGGGGACGGGGACACACACACACACACACACACACAATACCTGATAAACTTTCTTCTTCGATAGCCTGAAGATTGTTGTCATTTATTTTAAGTTCTTCTAATGTAGATGGTAATTCTGAAGGAATGTGTGCCAAATTATTTCCATCCATGTTCAGACGCATTAACTTCTTCAGAAACTTTAAAAAAATCTCAAAATTATCATTTTGTCTGATCATATATATTCTATATTCCATGTATTGCACTAATGTTCAGTCATATTTTGTGAGGTCTGAGATTTGACTTTCATAGCAATAAACAGAAACGTAACTGAATGCAGTAATTTGAATCTATTGTGGATGCAAACCATTTTTAGCATATTTATAGTTTAGTTGCCCATCTATACTAATATTTGTGATAGAAAAAGGATTATAAAATAGCACTACTATGAAAATTTTCAAAACAAAATAATCTCTGTATTTACACACACACACACACACACACACACACACACACACACACGGTTCCTCAAATAGCCGACTGTCTGAAAAGTATATTTCCACATTAGATGTTGCATGCATATTGGTCTAACATAGCCTGCACCACCAAAAGTGGAGTACTAAAGTTGAGTGTTTAGTTGGAGTACTAAAGTTCAGTAATACTGAAGCCACATGGAATGATTTCTTTCTCCATTGATCATTTTCAATTTCTATAGGACACAGAATCCTCAAACAGAAAACAGGTAATCTACAATAGTTTTCTCTTGGTCAAATATAGAGAACCTATGACCCTCTACTGCCAGTCAGAAGGATGGATAGTATGAAACAGGCACTGGGAGTCCTTCTGTATGCCTGCTCAGACTCCAGAGAACTGGAAGAGGAGAATACAAGAGACACATCATTTGTCTGAAGATCAAGGGCCCAGAAGATTCTCCAAAAAAACACATGTGTAACCCAGTGAGATAGTGTTCTTTATTTAGGGCCTTTTTAAAAGACTGAATCTCATTGATTGACCTGATTGGCCTGGAACTTGCTATGTAGACCAAGCTGGCCTTGAACTCAGAGATCTGTCTTTTCTCCCCAAGAGCTGGGATTAAAAGCTCTTGCCCTACTTTACTTATGACTTTTTTTTTTTTTTTGTCTTTTTGAAGCAGGGTCTCCCTGTAGCCCTAGCTGTCCTGGAACTCACTATGTAGACCAGACTGGCCTTGAACTCACAGAGATCCGCGTGCCTCTGCCTCCCAAGTGCTGGAACTACAAGCGTGAGCCACCATGCCTGGCTACTTATGACTTTTTATGTATATTTTTTATTGAATTTTTGCGCATTTCATACAAAACATCTTAATCATCTTTATACCCCCCATAGTCTGTCCCACCGAATTTCATGCATTCTAAGGCCTATCAAGTCAAGTTAGTGTGCCCAGATTGTCCCTCAGTGCAAGTTCATCCACTGGGGTCTAGTTAGCCTATCTAGAGTCTCTCCCTTGAAGATCAGCTCTCCCTCACCCAGCAGTAATCAGTTGTCAACCTTCGGCTAAGGTTGGGGCCTGCTACTCACTTTTAAAGCACATAATTTATGTGGTTTCATTTACACACACCAACCTTTCCTCTCACTTCTATTTTTTCTTCTCTGAAATTCCTTTACCCTTTTCTCCTTTTTAAAAAGAAAAAATTCAAACTATCTCCTTCAAAGGTTTCCTTTATACGATCTGCTGTTTCTCTTTCACTCCTCTCCAATCTATCTCATGCTAATTTTCATCTGGGCCCATTTATTCTTTTCTAGAACTCTCCTAGCCAAAATATTCTCCATCATACTCTGCTCACTGTGCAAAAGTAAGAAAGCTGTACCTTACAGACCTGACCATTTTAATAGGCATTCTAGATAAGTTCCATTTCACTTTTTTAAAAATACAAAGTGTAATTTAATAGTATATTTATTTTTAAAATATATTTTATTTTCTGTGTATGATGTATTGCCTGCATATGTGAAAGTACACCTGTGCCATGCAGTGTCCACAAAGGAGGGAAGAGGGTGTCGGATCCCCTGAAACTGGTGTTATGGACGATTTTTAGCTGCCATGTAGATGCTGGGAATCGAGCCTGGGTCCTTTGCAAGAGCAGCTAGTGCTTTTAACCACTGAGCCATCTATCCAGCCCTGATATTATATTTAAGTGCATCAGATTCTTAAAAATCCCCCAATTTTACTCAGTGCCAAGGATATGAAAAGACAGTTTTCTCTGTCTAAATCATGCATTCCATTTTCAATTGGTACACATGTGAACTTTATTTCTTATAATGAGTCGTATATAAAATTATTTATAGAAAAGTCAAATAAAAATAATTAACCAGTGAATAAGCCCTCTACTTTCTTATTGCCACCTTTTTAGTGGCAACACTCAAGTGACCTGTCAGCAGTACTCTTACATAGTACTTCAGCTGCTCAGAGACCAGATCTCCACATATTTTCAGCTACGTAGGGAGAAAATACTCCATAAATCCAAAACATTACTTAAGTCTGATATTATTCTTGGTAATCTTAACATAAGACTTACAAATATGATCAGCTGGAGAGGTGGCTCAGTGGTTAAGAGCATGACTGCTCTTGCAGAGGACGAGTTTGATTCCCAGCACCCACATGGCAACTAAAAATCACCTATAACTCCAGGGATTCAATGCCCCCTTCTGACCTCCACAGGCATTGAACAACATGGGTGCACTTACACACATGCAGGCAATATACTCATATACATAAAATAAAAATATAATTTTTTAAAAGACTACCAATAAGAAAACAATGTATAATCAAGAGAAAACTTGATTGCAGTTTAAGGATGTCAGAGAAGAAACAATGTAGACGAAAACCAGAAGTAAAAAGTTTTCTGCCTGAGTTTGTATGGGACTTGTGTATGCTGACACCATTGCCATAGAATCATGAGCAGGTTCCCAGGAGCTTGTAGGACTCTGTTTCCATATGGTCCTCCACCTCCTCCCTGGCTCTTAAAATCTTTCCGCCTCCTCTTCTGAGATGCTCCCCGAGCCTTGGGTGGGTGAAGTTTAATAAAGGAGTCCTGTTCAGGGACCAGCATTCAGCAGATTCTTAATCTCTACACTTTGGCTGTTTGTGACCTTTTGTGTTCCTGACCCATGCAAACTCAAGCAGACAAAAACTGGGAAAGTGAACAGTAGACTCCAATCTTATCTGAAGAAATACAGGCAACTGATTGCTGCTAGGTGATGAAGAGCTGATCTTCCTAAAACAAGGGACTCTAGATAGGCTGACTAGACCTCAGTGGATGAACTTGCAATGAGGAATGTCTTGGGACACTGACTTGACACAGTGGGCCTTAACAGGGATGACACAGTATATGGGCTCCAGTGGGTGGGCTATGCGAGTGTGCTGGTGGGGTCAGGGGTATAAAGATGATTAAAATTGAGATGTTCTGTATGAAATACACAAAAATTCAGTAAAAACAAACTTTAAAAGAAAGTTTCCTGCTTCCCCCAGACCCCCACCTTCTGACTTCCAATCATGATCAGTAAGAGTCATACTGTTACATACTAATAGAAGTGCTTACCTTGAATGCTTCTGGGCCTATGCCTGAAGAAGTGATATTATTTTTGCTCAGATCAAGCCTTTCCAAATTTGGTAATCCATTAAATGTTTCCTCCGGAATGGACATGATGGAATTCCCTAGAACATGTAGCAATTGTATTAGACACATACATATACATACATGTACATGTGTACTTAATATGTATGTGCATGTCTCTGTATACCTGACTATCAAGAGAGAGCTTTATCTAGAGAGGAAAGCAATTTTCAGAAGAAGGCCAGGAGAAATGTACATAAGCAAGTTAGTCAATACTGTCTCTTGGCCAGGACCACAAGCTTCAGATGCAGCTAGTTAGAATAACCAGAATAATCTGTTGGGCAGTGCTAGTAGCACTGTGCATTCACAACAAAGGTATATTTATGCAAGGTTAAAAAGAAGCTGACTGTTCTTCAGATTTTTCCACTGCCATTTCCCTGGACTTGGAAACATGATGTTGTTTATATCCAAGAAAGCAAAGGCAAATCCCTCACCACCTGTGAGCATGTTTCTTTAAATAAGCAGCTTAAGACTCAGGTATTCCAACTATCTGATATACTTTTCTGTCTTCAATCTATAATGGTTCCTACATCCTTTAGTTTTATGAGCATTTGTCCTAACATTTGGTTAGTGTAGGTATCAATTTATTTACAGAAAACGAACTTGCCAGAAACAATGCATGCTATAAGGAAGACGTGTTGATCTTCTTGTAAAACAAAGAATAGCCCAGCATGGGTTATTCATCCTTCCCACAACTTTAGACTTTCGCTAATTGGGTTTCCATAAGGCAGAGCATACCTGCCATGTAGGCCACAGGAGGAGAAGGCCTTGCTAGGAATGCAAATTTCTTAGTTGATTATATAAACGTGGAATGAAAGGATGCCATGGAAATTTCTAATAAGATCAACTCTGGCAGCATCCTATTGCAGATGGCCATTTGTGCACAAATATATTGAACCCATTCAGATCCTCTACTATCTCCCTAAGGCCTCCTCTGGCCTGGTGGAGACAGACAAAATGTCTGGATTCTACATTCTCACTGGAATGACTAAAGGAAAGAAGACAACCAACAATACAATCTGCTGGCTGGTTGTGGAGCAGCCAGAACTCCCCAGTACTGCTGGTGACAATGGAACAACCAACCACCTTGGAAATTTGTTGGTAGTTCCTTAAACGTATTGCCATACCTCTCAGCAGTTCTGCTTTTGGAAATGAAGGTATAGGCCCACACAAACATCTGTATGTGGATTTATTAGACCATTGCCTCTAACTGGAAAATCACATGTCTCTAGTTGATTACCAGTTGACTTATACAATAGGACACTGCCCTTTCATAAAGAATAATGAACTGATACCCTGAACAAAATTAGTGCTTTTTAAAGCATTAGAAGTCCAACTGTTAAGGCTACTTACTGTGTGACTCTAGTGAAACTCAGAAAGCAAAGCAATAAGAAGAGAAAACAAGTCAGTTTTCTCTGGTGGCCCAGGGACTAGAGGAGATGGAGATGGGAGGAATTTGGGGGAGTGATTAAAAGGTTCTTTATCCCAACTGTGGTGGTGTTTACATTTGTAAAAACTTGTAGAACAATACATTAAAAATAAATTAGCCAGGTGTGGTAGTGCAATCCTAGCACTTGGGAGGCAGAGGCAGGCGGATCCCTGTGAGTTCAAGGCCAGCCTGGTCTACATAGTGAGTTCCAGGACAGGTGGGGCTACAGGGAGACCGTGTCTCAAAAAGACAAAATAAATAAATAAATTTTGTCCCAACACTCAGGAGGCAAAGGCAGGCAGAGCTCTGTTAAGTTCAAGGCCAGGCTGCTCTACATAGTGAGTTCCAGGCCAGCTGGGGCTACAGGGAGACTGTGTCTCAAAATAGACCAAAAATAAATAAACTAATTAATTAATTTTGTCTTATGTATAAAATGTACCCTGCTAAAGAAAATTTTTAAAAAATGGTTCTTGAGAAATCACTGTTTGGTTTAGAGTTTGCTTTAGAACTAAGACATTTCTGTAGTGTGTGCCTGTCTCTGCTGCACAAGTCATCTTTATGAAGTTGATTAGTTTCTACTATGAAATTAAAGCAGTATTCATAAAATAGTAAGAGTCACCATATATGTCTAAAACACAAAATAAAGAAGTCACCATCTCTTACCAATCAGGTCCAGGCTTATTACATCTGGTGCTGTCATTGGTGGGATCTGGGTGAGGCCTGCATAGATGCAGCTGATGGTCCTATAGGACAGGGAACAGCTGCTAGGAAGGCGCGGCCTGCCTCTTGAGGGAGTGGGGATGGGGAACCCAGAAGGCATTCGGAATATATCTCCTCTCATGGCATCCTCCTCCTCTTCCTCTTCCTCCTTGGCATCCTTCTCATTCTCCTTGTCATTTTCCTCCCCTCTTCCATGGTACAGTGGTTGATGTGCTGACCTCTCTTCCTCCCCAGGCCTCAGCTTTCTCTCTGCTCTGCTTTCCCCCTCCCTGTGAAGTTTGTTACGTCCAGGAGTCTCTCTCTTGTGCTCCTTATCTTTCATTTCTTCTTCATCCTCCTCCTCAGATTGAAGTGCTACTTTTCTGAATACTTGGTCCATTTCCACTTGAGGATGTGGCACTTGCTTATGAAGTATATTGGTGGGTTCTCTTTGTTCTGAAGAATCACCAGAAAATTCAGTTCTATCATTTAGTGTTCTACCACTGAGTAGAGAATACATGGCTAGGATGAGGTAACAGGGGCAAGTTGATGATGTTAATAAAAGGAAAAAATAATGAAAGTGAGGTTAGTAAATATTATTCCCTCTATATATTTGATTGCCATGAAAAGATGAAATGCACTTAAATTTTTTCCTTGAATTTTAAGCTATAACTTTATTTCTCTTACAGAATTTGCTTTAGATATATAATTTTTGTGTCTGTGAGCCTTAGTACTACTTTTGCATTAGATAACATAATACTTATTTCCACTAGAATATGAGACTACATGGTAAACTAAAGAGGGAATAATATTGGCACATGATGCAAGATAGAAAGCAGTCCTATTGTGTCTAATACCATCAGGTGGGATACCTTTATCTTTGATAAGGGGAATACCTGAGATAAATGTACATTTTGTCACACCCTCTGAGTGAAGAGTTCTAAAGGGAAATGATTTCACAGTCCATAGGTTTTCTTCCATCAACATTCACAAATCCATCTAATCATCTCTCTACTTTTATTTAATACCATATATAAACTATCCCAAAAGAATCTAGAAAAGATTATTTGAAGAAATTACTTGTGATCTATTCAGAATATATTATAAACTCTAAGGATGGTTTTCTTTTTTTATACCTATAGCAAAACATTCAGAAAAACAGGAGAAAATTAGCAATTGAAGCTAAAGTTGTCATATTTAAACATTTAAAATCCTTCCTAGATATCCAAATTTATTTTCTAAAATAACTACATTTCAAGAATATCCCAAGTTCTTAGAAAATATCTAGGAGTTTCTGGATCTTGCCTATAAGCCTTGTATTACACTTAAAGGATCCAGATTCAGTAAGCATACCTACTAACATTTTTCAAAAGTACAATGCTTTAGTCAAATAACTGATAGTGTGAGACAAAGTTCAGTTCCTAAAGATTTGAAGTTCTTCCTGGTAGGAGACTTTTGTAGATGCCTACTTTCTGGTCATGGTGGAGTTGGGGAATCTACCTTGATTTTAGATAAGATAAATGTCCTTATCTGTTCCTGTCCAATGATTTAACATTGTTTTCATAAGTCACTAACTTAAGTTTTCTTCCAGGAAGCCTAGGCTTACCTCTTAAGGATCTCTGACTTGTTCAAGTCCAAGCCTCATTGGAGAAGGGGTCAGTGAGAATCCAATGATTCCCATGGTATGCCCTACACACAGAAGTGCCACCCTAGAAAACCAAGCCCCAGGCCATACTCCTGTGATTCCCTGGAAGTCCTCATACTACTATGAGTTCCTGTGCTGCCTTTAGGCTGATAAAAATAACTCAGAAAATTGAAGCTTTGTTCATTTTGGTTATAAATCACTTCTCTTTTGTTCTCATGACAATGGTTAGTATATTCCTGATAAGCTGAGTTAATTAAGATAATGCATATACAGACACACTGAAGCAGAACCCATAACTCATTAGTAAGTCCGGGTTTGTTGTAGGAATTCTGTTACTGTATCTCTAAAGCAAAGAGTCACATGTGAAATTGGATCTGGTCCAACTTGACTCATTCTGAGAATTAGAACTATAAAGCTAGAATCTATTATTTCTGTATCTTGCAAACACTTTCTAGATATTTCTGTTTTTTAGCAGTGTACCATATTTTAAGTACTTTAAGTTTGTAATAATTTACGCCTTAATGTAATGATTAAAAATAAATAGAAGGGTAAAAAAGATACAAAAATGTCAATGCATTCCGTTTATTAGATACAAAATCACCATAAACTAAATCATTTATCCTTGATCTATTTCTTCTAAACATTAGAAAATGAAACTGGGTGTAGAGGTTCAGCCTGTAATCTCAGGACTGGGAGGCTGAGAAGTGAGATCACCACAAGTTTTTGTCCAACCTGGGTCACATAGTCAGTTCCAGACCAGGATAGGCTAGACAAAAAAAAAAAAAAAAAAAAAAAAAAAAAAAAAAAGAAGTTAAAGGCAGAATCATGCCCAATATTTTGTTTGGGCTAAATTTGTATACCATTATCAGAGCAGACAGGGCAGCATTCTCCTTCCAATGTAATGGTATAGGGACACGTCTGGGAGTGGCACACAGTTTTGTCACAAAGCACTTTTCCATCTGAGCAGAGGCAGGTGGTGCAGGGCTCTGGAGACCAGACGGCTTTGTTGTACATGGTCATGCCCTTTACCAAGCAGTGTCCTCTCTTTCCTAAAAGAGAAAAATAACACATTTAAATGTCTTAGGTGATTATTAGTATCCATGAATGGAAATAAATACAATGTGAAGTCAACTGGCAAAACTGCCCAAGAATAGAGGTCTCTATACAACCATGCCTGTTCTCCTGTGGGCACGCTAGGAGTTGGCCTGGGTTTATAGCCACTCTGCAACAGACAGGTTTCCTCAAGCAGACTGCCCCAATTGACCCAGTGATAAGAGTGCAAGGTTATAAATCACACTCAAATTCTAAAAGTATCAAATTCTACTGCCAAAGTAAATTGTAGACCTACACCTAAATTCAGAAGAGGCAAGCAGTGCATTTCCATCCCAGTATAGAGCTGGAACCACACTAATGAGCTCATAGTCCACCCCGTCGATAGGCACGTGGAGAAAGATGAAACAGCATGCTTCCACTAGAATCAACTTCCACCAAGTTGTCCTTTTACTTCCACATGTGTGAGCCCATACACATATACTCACCAAGTAAATAAGTAAATGTAAATGGGTGACTATTATGGCATATGCATTGTATTTTTTAAAATGTTGTGACTAGGGGCTGGAGAGATGGCTCAGTGGTTAAGAACACTGGTTGGTCTTGCAGAAGACCCGGGTGTGAATCCTAGCAGCCACATGGCAGCTAACAACTGTCCTAACCCCAGTTCCAGGGGATCCGACAGCCTCTTCTGACCTCCGCAGGCATTGCACGACACAGGTGCACTTACCTACATGCAGCCAATACACATATACACATAAAATTAGAAAGAAAAAAAATGTTGTGACTAGCCTGATGTGTTGACTCACACCTTTAATCCCAGCACTAGGGAGGCAGAGACAGGTAGATCTCTAAGACTGAGGTCAACCTGGTCTACATAAAGAGTTTCAGGCCAGCTGGGGCTATAGGGACACCCTGTGTCAAAACACAAAAACAAAAATGAAACGACAAAGAACAAGTAAGAGCCAGGCAGGCGTGGTGACGCATACATTTAGTCCCAGCACTTGGGAGGCAGAGGCAGACGGATCTCTGTGAATTCAAGGCCAGCCTGGTTTACATAGTGAGTTCCAGGCCAGCTGGGACTACAAGGAGACCCTGTCTCAAAAAGACCAAACAAAACAAAACAAAAAACAAATAAGAGCCCCATCAACCCAAGGGATTGGATTGTCTTGTTAAAAAGTTTACATGAACATGCTGTTTTATGTTTCTCCATGTGCCTATCCAACAGGGTGGACTGTGGGTTCATTAGTTCCAGGGGATGGACCTACACTAAAAGAGTATTTGGGGAACACAAATTGGACTTTGTAGGCTTTAAAAAAATAGAGGACAGGCAGTGGGTAGGGACTAGGGAGGTGGGTGGATCTGAGAAGAGGTAGGAGAGGGATTTGCATATAATCAAAATACTTTGTATACATTGTATGAAATTCTCAAAGAATTTAAAATTTTTATATTTATAGATCAAAAGGTAGTATAAAAACTTTGTTTTTTTCTTTGGAGCATTAACTTCATGGAGACTATCTTTCTCTCTCCCTCCCTTCCCCTGTTCTCTTTCTCACATTATTCTCTTACCTGGTAACACATTATAACTTGATTCTACTCCATGAAAACTTAGAAAGGATTCAAACTTTTCCTCCACACTGTAATCAGAGTCCACGATGGGCAACCTTGCTTCTGGTGTGACAGTTGATTGCTGAATCCCAAACTGCCTGCTTGATCTGTTGTTGGATGAGGAGCTTTTCCTTGGTCTTCTCTGACTCATCTTCCTCTTTTGCTTCCTAGAACTTTGCTCATTTTGTGCACAATCAGTTTGAAAAACGATAAACAGAATAAAACAAAACAAAACTGCAAATTTCATGTTTGATTTTTTTTCCACCAACCAATTTCTAAAATGAAACAAAATTTCAAAGTTAGTTGTGACTAAACTTTTACTTGAGAAAGTTACTTAAAATTGTCTGTAAGCGTCAGTACTTGGAAGTCTTTGAGGAGAAACACTGATGTCATCTTTGCCCTATATACTACAGTATTACTATCCAGTCAGGTTTTTAATATATGCATCTTTAGACCAGGTATGAGCAAAATTTTTCTACAGAAGGCCAAACAGTAAACATCTCAGCCTTTATAGATGTTTGTCCTCTGTCATAACTATTCAGCTATTTTTGTAGTCTAGAATCAACCATAGATGTTATATGGTAGTGACTCTGTTCCATCAAATGTGCACCACAGGAAACAAGTTTGGACATGGCCCCTGATTGCAACAGCAGACCCGTCTGTGCCTCACAGTGCTGTGGGGTTTTGGCAACTAATTCTTTTCACCTGTCTGCCAAGGTGCTCCATGACTACCACCCACAGCCCACTTGTATATACCCTTTCTGTTATTTTAATCACTAACTTTATTGTTTTCTTTACTGAGGGGAGGCCATGATTATCTTATATAAAAGTAACAGTGAAATAACATCAGTGATAAGGAAGCGATAGACGGGACAAGTAACTTTTTCCTTTGTGTATGTGTGTATGTGTGCATGTGTATAATATAGTGTATATGGGTACGTGTGTATGCATCGGTGCACATAGAGTCCAGAGGTCAATATTGGGTGGCTTCCTTAGTTGCTCTCCACCTTATCTATTGAGAGAGGTCTCTCACTGAACTCAGAGCTCACCAATTGACCAGCTGGTCAGCAAACTCTGGGGATCCACCTGACTCCACCTTCCTTTCCCCTAGAGCTAGGTTTACAGATGTGCTTCACCACATCCACCTTTTACATGGAGATATGAACTCAGGTCCTCGTGCATGTATGGTAGACACTTTGCCCTTTGAGAACTTTTCCTAGCCCTAAACTTTTAAATTTTAATTGAGGAAGTCTTCACATATGGAGGGGTGTACATGCAGGAATGTAGAAGCCAGGGAACAACTTTGGTGTCATCCTCAGGAACACTGTCCACCTCCTTTGAGACAAGGTCTCTCATTGGACCGAAGCTCACCAATTAGGCCAGACTGAACCCTCCTGTTTCCACCCCCAGAGCTGAAATTACTCATACCCCATATTCTGGGGTTTTTTGTGGATGTTCTGGGGAACAAACTCAGACCCTCACACTTATAAGGCATGTGCTTTACCAAATGAGCCATCCCTTCAGCTCCAGGACAATTGACTCTTAATCAGCTGATCTCAAGAATAATTCAGAGCCCTATACTTGGTAAAGGTGAGAAATGTGAGGTTTTAGCAACCCATTCTCTTCATCTGTCTGCCAGGGTGCTCTAGGACTACCCCCTACAGCCCACTTGTATACCCTCTTTGTTATTTTAATGAGAAGTAAGTGTTTAGACTTAAGTGTTTATACTTTTGATATAGCAGCAGCATTGTGGACAGTCACTATAGGCTAGATAGCATTGACAAGAAAAGAGAAATCTTCATAATGTTGAAGCCAGAGGATTAAAAAAAAGTTAGGCCTTTTAGACAAAGCTGGCACAGTTACCACAGCCTCTCAAGTCAGCAGCTGAGACGGCTTTCTTCCATGTTCCCTTCCCTGTGACCTGGCAGTCCTTCTGCAGCCCTCTGCTCAGGTCCTTTCACTGTCAGTGTTTGCAGAGATGAAGAGCCCCTGCACCAAGTCCAGCATCCATTCCTGATAGAAACTCTCACGGAACTAGTAATAAGAGGGAACTTAATCTATATAAGTGCCATTTATGGAAAACTTATAGCTAATGTCATACCTAGTAATAAAAATGTAATGTTTTCTCTCAAAGATTTGGAACAAGGGCATCAATTTGCACCACGTCTGCTTAGCATTCTACTGGATTTTCTAACCAGCATTGTGGCACAGTACCAGGAAAAAGAAGACATATACCATTTGGGGGGCCTCTCCCTGCTGCAGGAGGCTTTTGTTACTCTACCTTACATAAAACCTTGTTTGTTCTTTTAAAAAAAAAAAAAAAAACTAAATTGCAGATAAATAACATTTTATAATCTCTAGAAATGTATTTTTAATAAGAAACAATATATTTCCTGGCAGACATGAATATGTTTTATCTTTCTATAAAACTTAAGAAAACTAGAGTTTTAACTCTTAGCAATCATAAACCAGTATTTTATAGAAAATTCATCTGGATTGGACAGGAAGAAGTAAAATGGCTTTATTCAAAAATTTCTTGGTCATTTAGATAGAAAGTCTAATGGAGTCTACCAAAAATGCTCCAACAGGAAAATTTAGCAACTGTAAGCTCAATCTATAAAAATCAAGATTATTTCTGTATACTAACAACAAAAATAGAAGTGCACAACATCACAATAGCATCAAATTTGAATTACTAAAGAATATCTCATATAGAAGTTGGTCAAGATGTCTGCTCTGAAAACCCTAAAATAATGCTGAAAGAAATGAAATAAGACCTTTGTAAGTGGAAATATTTATCATATATATGGATCAGATGACTCAAGCTTGTTAAATTGTCAATTTTCCCCCAAATTAGTCTCTACATTTGTCACGAATTCAGTCCAAGGTTCTACCAGGTTATTTTGATAAAACTTTACTGGTTAAATCAGGCATGGTGGACATACCTGCAATCTAGCTACTAAGGAATTTGAGGCAGGAAGATTGAAAGTTGAGGTCAATCTGAGAAAGCTGGTAAGATCATGACTTAACATAAAATTGTAGAACAGTGGTAGAGTATTTGTAAATCATGCACAGCTACATGTATTCAATCCTTTATGTCATTAAAAAAAGCTTTTAAAAAATAGGCGGTGGGAGGGGGCGGACTAACTGGCAAGATGACTCAGCAGTAAAGCTATTTGCCACCAAGCCTGACAACCAGGTCATCCCTGAGACCCACGTGATAGAAGGAAGAGAAGTAATTACAGGTTTTCCTCTGACCGCCTCATGTACTCTGGTATGTATGTATATGCATGCATGCTTGTACATACAACAAATAAATTTAAAATATTAAAAATAAAAATTTTAAGTATTTTATGGTAAATAAAATCATATGAAGTTAAAAGTTTATTATTTCAACATAAAGTTTCATTAGAACATAGCCATGTTGTTTGTTTATATATTGTTTGTCGTTATGTACTATAAGCATATCTTAGGTCTACAACATGTAAAATAGTTTAGATTCAAACACCTAAGTTTTGCAACTAATAGTTTAAAGCAGTGCCTCTCAATTGGGGGATAATTTGCCCCCCCAGGGAACATGTAGCAATGTCTGGAGCAGGTATGCACATTTTAGTCATCACAATTGAAGGGGGCCTTATAGATACCCAGCATGAAGAGGCTGAGGATGCTGCCAAACATGGTACAGGACATAATCCACCACAACAAAGAATTATCTGACCAAAATATTGGTAGTGGTAAGGTAGAGGATCCCTAAGTGAAAGAAATAAAGAATTATAGGGTTTAATCATTTATAATCTCATTGCTGCAGGCAAAACATAGTGTGTTATAATTGGATGGAGTCTTTCAGTGGTTAGTTAACAGAAGAGTGGAAAATAAATTGTCATTTCCATATGGTAACCTCATCCCAAAGTTTTCTCCTAACTCCAGACTTGCTTTTTATTTCATCTGTTTCCAAGTCTCATATATAAGTGTGTTAGAGAGAAATAATCCAGATGCATTATCCTTCATTTTAAGTATCTGGCAGGTAGCAGTATTGACAAGGCCCTTCACTGTCCATATCATACGCATAGCTGATGTAGTCCAATTCTAATGTGGACTGTAAATTTTAAGTTTGCTGCCCCCCCGCCCCATTTTTCCCCATTACTGAGGATTTAACCTAGGATCTTGCACATGCTAGGCAATCAATCACTCAGCTAATACCACTAGCCTGTTTTTTCTATTTGAGATAAAGTATCACTAAATTATCCTAGCTGGCCTCAAACTTGCAGTCCTCCTGCCTCAGCTCCCAAGACATGTACCACAGCATATTTGTATTTCTGTTTTGCTCAGGAGACACTGTTCTTCCCTGGCAGTCTATGTGGGTTAAATGATACTTCACTGTATATAGCTCACTTTGACTGGACCTACATCATCTGCTGTGTTTCCACTAACACAGAATTCCCATCTCTTGAGTCCTGGCTGTCTGTGTTCACAAACTTCTATTAGAAAGTTCTTCCTTTGGCCAAGCTTATCTACAGTATAGCCCGTAAGAAATTAAAGATAAAAACCAGGACTGGAGACATGTCTCAGTGGTTAAGAGTACTGTCTGCTCTTGCAAAGACCCAAGTTCAGTTCCCAGCACCCACATGGTGGCTAACAATGGTCTGGTCCATAACTCCAGTTCCAGAGGATCCAACACCCTCTTTTGGCCATGTTGGGCATTTCACATTTACATATATGCAGGCAAAACACTCATACACATAAAAATAAATAAAAATTTTAAACTACAAATATAAGATGAAAACTACAGTTTTCTCTTGAATTCTTAATTTAATTTTATTTTATTTTATTTTGGTCTTTTTGAGACAGGGTCTCCCTGTAGCCCCAGCTGTCCTGGAGCTCACTATGTAGACCAGGCTGGCCTTGAACTCACAGAGATCTGCCTGCCTCTGCCTCCCGAGTGCTGGGATTAAAGGCATGTGCCACCACGCCTGGTGAATTCTTAGTATTTTTGTGAGCACTTAAAAAATGTGCTTACACGGGGCTGGAGAGATGGCTCAGTGGTTAAGAACACTGAATGTTCGTGTAGAAGACCCGGGTTCAGATCCCAGGACCCACATGGCAGCTAACAACTGTCTGTAACTCCAGTTCTAGGGGATCCAGTGCCCTCTTCTGGCCCCCGCGGGCATTGCACAATGTGGGTGTACTTCCATACATGGAGGCAATACATGCATACACATAAAATAAAAATAATAAAATATTTTTTTAAAATATGCTTACACTTGTAAAAATGATA